CATGTCCCTGTTCCCTGGCTTGAGTATCAGATGGAGTTGATGATGGAGAAAGTAAAGTCATTGCACAAAATATCCTGGGGCCCCGTGGGATCTCTGACAAGCTAGATGAACTCAGTGCTGGCGCTCTGGCCTGAGCAGACAGACCTAATCGTGGCAGTTGCCAGGCTGCCTCTTCCAGAAAATGGTTTAATGAAAGATGAAGTCTTACCTCTTACAGTTCAGAGCCCAGCTGACAGTGCGAAGTGGTATCAGGAAAGGGTGGCAAGGAGCCCAGGTGGCTTCTTCCCTATTGGTTCTTCATGCATACAGCTCTCCCAGGACCTGGCTGCTGGCAGAATGCTAGAGGGCAGGGCTAAGCCACACCATACCCAAGCAATACCTGAGGGTTCCCCTACCCTCAGAAGGATGAGAAGGTCAGATGATGGACAGGCCAAGTGGGTTGAAGGATGGCTTCTTCCATGTCTCACATCTACCCTTCTAGAAAGGCATCCTCCAACTCTCTTTAAAAAGAAGGAAAGTGGGGGGGAGGGCTGGGCAGGGAGAGAAGTGTAGCAATGAATGAATGGAAATCCAAAATCTGTAAATGCTCATTAAAATTCTTTTTTTTTAAATTTAAAAAAATTCAGGTGGAATAGAAAAAAAATTTAAAAAAAAAAGTGCTGCCCAAGGTAGCTGCCCAAGGTGATGGAATCACAGGTCCTGGTGCTGGATGGCCAAGGCCACCTCCTGGGCTGCCTGCTGGCCATTGTGGCCAGGCAGGTGCTGCTGGGCCAGAAGGTTGTGGTCGTGTGCTGTGAGGGCATCAACATTTCTGGCAACTTCTCCAGGAATAAATTGAAGTACCTGGCCTTCCTCCACAAGCTCATGAACACCAGTCCATCCTGAGGGCCCTATACCTCTTCCAAGACCCCAGCCGCAAGCAAGGCCAGGCTGCCCTGGACAGCCTCAAAGTGTTCCACGGGATCCCACCTCCCTATGGCAAGAGAAAATAGATGGTGGTCCCTGCAGCCCTCCAGGTTGTGTGGCTCAAGCCCACTCGTAAGTTTCCCTACCTGGGCCGCCTAGCTCACAGCCTCAGGTGGGCTGGAGGTACCAAACAGTGACGGCCACCCTAGAGGAGAAGAGGGAAGAGAAAGCCAAGATGCATCTTAGCAAAAAGAAGCAGATCATGAAGCTACAAAAACAGGCCACAGAGACCCTGGAGAAAAGGATCAGCAAGTATACAGAAGTCCTCAAGAGCAAAGGCCTCCTGGGCTAAGACCAATAAAGACTCTTAATTCCTAAAATAAAATTTTAAAAAGGGCAAGTGGGAAGAAAAGTGCTGTTTTACTTTAAGAATTCAAGAACAAGGAGTGAATTTTAAAAAGCTGAAATGGTGAGATAATTCCCACTAGACGCTGGTATACTTTTTGAGTGAACAAGGCAACAGCGGTATCTTCTTTGTACAGGATTGAGAAACACTTCTTAATCAGCTCCAACTTTGGAGACTCAATGCTGGGCTTGGACTCCTCTCCAAGGCACACCGAGCAGTGCCCGGCTGACTGTGCCACATTGATGTCACACCTGTCCTTGAGCCTCCCCATAAATTGTCTAGATCTTCAATGCCAAATCTCGCCACGGACTCACAGATCTTGTTAAAGCCCCTCTCTATTTTCTTGCCCAGAAAGTCATCAGTCCTGACCAGGCTCCAACTGGCTTTTCCTCATGGGCTCTGCCAGGCAGCCTCCATGGTTTGGAGAAGTTATCTTCGTCAGGGTCAAGCCTAATTGCCAACTCTCATTGCTGTGGAGTCAGAACTGA